TATGTGTAACAATCGCGAAAACCTAAGAACTCGAGATGTCTACCACTATTTTTCATAAAAATGTAATATTCTTCTTAACATAAATTACATTTTAATGTACTGTGACGCTACTGTAAGAATGCTAATGTTTTTAAGTCTCTCTCAAAGATCTTCCGTGTCATCACGTTCCAGTAAAGAGCGTATACTTATATCTATATTCTAGTAACCTAGTTGGCGACTCGGCTACTCGAATGGTTGTGTTACCAACTAGATGAAATATGTTTGACTGTTATTATCAGGTGTGAACGACTATAGAGTTCCTAGGTTTTCGCCGTTACACTTTGGAGATGAAAATACTTTTTCGGATCTTAGCGAATATTTGCTCAAAACAAACCCAAGTTTCGGGATCTTTAATCTCTTGGACAGTCTAGATCTCATGGGCATATTATCTGTCGGACCTGTAAGGAGCCCGGAACGTAGACCAGGTGTTTTTGTAAAACGCCCATGTTTTGAATTGTGAATTATTTCAAAACATGGACGAACAGTTTTAATAAAAAGAACTGACCTCAAAAATTTTTGGAATTTTTTTTTTTTTTAATAATAATACACACACTCAACATAGCCCCGCACTAAGGAAACCCTGTGTCGCGGGTGCCATGGACACACATATAGACAAGCACAATTTACACCCAAACTCACGAGAGAAACAAATGTAGGTCATACAAATATTCCTCCCGGCCCGGGAATCGAACCTGGGACCTCTGCGTAGCAGTCCGGCATGGTAACCGTTCGGCCACAGAGGCAGTTAAACCGATTTCAATATAACTTGGCAAATAGAATTACATCTATTTGCCAAGTTATATTGAAATCGGTTAGATCAAAGTGAGTTAAACCCAATAATCCGGATTCATCCTCTAATTTGCCACCCTTAGAATTACAATATTTTCTTCAAATTTGAATGAGAGCACTACTGACGTAACCTTTTTCTAATAAAAGAAATAATCGAATTTCGTTTACAAATGTCTAAGAAATGAATTAAGAACCTCCTTCTTTTTTTGAAGTCGGTTGAAAACTACAGTCGATCCGTTACATCTCAATAATCGAACAGCCACACGCAAATCATGAAACGAAAAGCTGACACAATTTTCGTAAAATATATCAATCAAAATACATATTTGTCACAAATTAATTAAATGTTTTTAAGTCAAAGAGGATTTATTCCATAGTTAAAATAAATTTACACTTGAAAACGTTATTTTTTAAGCAACTACTCGTTCACTGTGCTGACTTCCCTGAGAAGAAGGAGCAAGAAACTCTAGGGATTGCTCTTTTCAAACAAACTTAAATACTATAGAATACTCTATGAATAAAATTTTTGTGAAATCTAGACCCATGTCGTCTTCTTTTAACACTTTTTAACCGACTTCAAAAAAGGAGGAGGTTCTCAATTCGACTGTATGTTCTTTTTTTTTTGTATGTATGTTACGCGATAACTCCGGTATTTGTGAACCGATTTTCATGATTCTTTTTTTGTTAGAAAGGGGGTACTTTCATAGTGGTCCCATTTTATTTTGAAGGAAATCATCCAAGGGTGGCTGTTCACGCATGAAGATTCATTTTTATAAATAGCGCCTAACTTTAATTTAGGAGCAATTGCTTTTAGCAATTATTTAGTTGAGTTTGCTATTTCTCTAATTCAAGGCGTTTTTCCCTCGATATACTTTGAGTAGTGTCGTAGTGAGAACCTATTTTTATTATCTCCAGTATCAAGCCCTGTATAGTGGCGAACTAGGGGATTTTTCAATGAAACTTAGCAAATAGACTTAATTATTTATTAACGTAATTCCACGTACTTTTGAGGTCGGTTTTTTTAGTACTCTGTACTGAGATTATTCTAACACTGGAGTCAATTTTATAATATGACTTTTCTATTAAAATACTTTCAATGTAAGTTTTAAATTTACGAAATGATAATCTTAATATATGCTCCGGAATCTTACAATTCCCCATAAAAGAAACATTTACCTCAGTCAAAGAAATCGTGGTGCCATGAGTTTGGACTTAGTTCTAAGGTTAATATTATAGATATCTTCTTTCTTAAAGAAAAAATTGTATATTTTTACGGGCATACAAAATATTTGAGTAAATATAATGTGTTGCCACAGTCATGATATCAGTCTCCTTAAACTTTTCTCTGAGAGGAACCTGAGAACCTAAAGGGTACACAAAATCTAATTCTAATATTTTTTTAGACAGGTTGTCTGGCACATTATTATTATTTTATAGTTCACTTACTAATAATACATTCCAATTCAAGCCTACCTAAGTATTTGCTTTTATTAAGGATTGTACTAGCATCTTAACACTAAGTCTACGAAGTCCAGTTATAGAAATTCAGTAACATCTAAAACTTTAATATTATATCATCACGCACAGAACGAAATGGTAAGCAGACCCCGAGTAGGAAGTATCGAGTATCCAGATCACGCCTGCAAACCGTTTTTATCAGACTACGACGTGATCGAAGAAAGAGGTTACTGTTATTACTCACTTGTTGCGACCAAATTGTCAATTAGGTAAACATTTTGAAGTAGTTTATTGTTAATTCAATATTGCAAGAAATTCTCCGTTCCGTGAATCGCGGTAAGGCACATCACACACGCGATTTCATACGTTAAAAGCGAGTCACGAGCAGAAACGGGAAAAACTGTTCTGCTAGATAAAAGAAAATGATTTAGGTATTTAATATTACGGTCTTACAAAAAAATATACGATACACCTAAGGTCTAAAGAATGTGCTAATGTGTTACGCGATAAATCCCGAAAACAGGCTAAAATAAAACTAAAACGAATTTAAGAATTAAATAACTAACTTTGCGCATAATTTTTACATGGCAATATTTCTCTTTAAGTACTAATAGAGCTCTACTATTTCTAAAACCGTTTAGTCTTTACTTATAAAAGCTGCAATTTTTAGTTTCGTTTGATGATCTCTTCGTTATCTCTTCGTTCATTCAAAGAACTTTGTCAATATAACCATGTGACCATTGACAATATAACATTTTAAAAGAAAAAGGTCCTTTTTATTTAAATTTAGCAAGTGACAGAAACCGCTCGGACCTCGTAAATTAAAATTAATGTTGCGTGAACGTATAATTCGTGTCTATTATTTATTTGCTACTAATATTTCCTGATGATAGGTCACCTCTAGAATGCAGCATTATTAAATTCTAATAGTTGTAGCTTTATGTGACGCCTGGTGCGTTGGTCAAACATTTCATATGACAAATTTATTGTTCGTTCGTGTGCATTCGGCGCAAGATAGGGTTACGGTTATTGCTTGCACATTGCTGGGTCGTCTCGCAGACGCGTTCGCCATGATTTTAATCAAAGGGACTTTGTCAGATGGCGGTAATGGAACGGGTAGGGTGTCGAATAACTGGTCACGCACTTGCTCGTTCCTTAGCATGCAAGTATAAGTCTTGGCATGAGTTGATAAGTTATGGATCTTAAGAATAGACTTCATAGTATGAAATTTAAAAAATGAATTACGTTTATATTTAGAATTAATTATGGGACGTTATTCATAGCGCAGGTATTAGTATTTTCCAAGTGGGTGTCAACTAAACGCTGGAGAGTGTAATCAATAAATAAATTCGTCGCTTTCCTCCATCTTTTTTGCCGTTGGCTATACAAAACGGACAAATAACGGTTGATATTCAAGAATTATATGATTCATTTGTCAGTAACGAACAGTGGCACTAACTCTGTCATCTACTGGTATGCACGCTTTCGAGAAAAAGTAATTCCAATCATTTTGAATGAAATTTGGCAATTATGTACTCTCTTTTCACACATTCCACTTAGGAGACTCGATTATATGAAAATAGATCTCTGAAAGAATAACGCTAACAAATGTCCAACTTCGAATACACGTGTGTGATAAATACGAGAATTAGAATATGCTGGGCGTGCACTACACGTTTAACATTGTAATCAGTTTGAAAGACTCGCTATACCTAGTTGGTAATGAACTGTCGAGTGACAAGTATGGCCAATATGATTGGACCGGGAACGGGTTGCAGTGAGACGTGATATGATCGTGCCCGGAATACGTTTTCGCTTCTTGGAAACCGCAAGCGCGATAGGGATATGATTATTGCTCCCACATTGCGACGGGATCGCATTAGGACGCCACCGCGGCGCCGCTCCAGGCTTCTGGTTTTTATGGGCGCTCGCTTCAGGATTATTCCCCTTTCATAGGCGCGTTCTATCAAAAAGTAGTTTTTAGGTATGAAACGGTTCCCGTACGGAAGTATACTTCAAAGGTCGAGATGCTACAACAGTGTTTTTAGATAGGTATGCGACGTGAAGCGTGAGTTCGCGTGCTTACAGCACACTAGACGCATTGTGCGTTTCAATTGAGCAGTTCTCGAAGTTCCCTGAATTATAGGTATCCTACGGAGGTACTTGCTCGCCTAACACTACTAACTTTCCTTCAAATTTCAGAATATTAAATTCAAAGATTAAAGTAAAATTTTCAAATAAAAAAATATTAAAATCTTTTTTTATGATACCAAGTTATGAGACGGACAAGTGGTGCGCCTGGTCGTAAGCTACACGCCTATCCATAACAGTCGCAGTGCCACTCAGAGCTTTAAATCGCGAACTTCTGAGCGGCATTGCCACTGCGCACCCTGAGACGTCAGTTGACAATTCTCATGTGCCTGTAATTTCACCAGCACCCTTACCCTTCAAATCCGGAGCGCAGTAATGCTCTCAATACGGCTTGGCGGCAGAAATAGGTAAGGTGGCAGTACTTCCCTGGACGAACTCTTTCACAAGGCGCTCTTCTGCTACTCTGTCATAAACTTACTTTAAAAAGAATTTTGTTTTCTCATATTAGAATTTTATTATTACCACTCGGCATACGGTATTACGGTCTCCAGCAGTAATACAGCAATCTTCACAAAGAGGCAGCTGCCTCGTGAACCAAAAAATATAATTAAAGGAACCTTTACCAGGTTTGTTATGCCGATGCTTCTTCCCCTTGCCGGCGACAGTCACCGCCAGCAGCAAAAGCAGTCCCCACCGCATCATGCCACCATCACAACACCATCACAATAAAAAAAAGATTTATTTATGATAAACCACTAGGTGATATAGAAATCACTTCACTCACAAAATCACCACATTACGCATCGTCATTTTTATAAAAAAAATAGTATATAAAAAATTAGAATCGAAAAATAAATTTATTTATTTTGTGGTGTAAAAGTAATTGTCATGTAATTTGAACACAAATACAAACTAAATCTGACAATTAATATCTTTCAATTAGTAAATTAAATGAAACTGTTATTTAAATTCCGAATACAAACACGCGAAATGAATATCGTGATCGTTAATTTGCAAAGGAACGACACAACCACCACGATTGACGTTCAGAAAGTAACTAAAATGAGCAAAGCTTGCTTTTCGATACGAGGAATCGGGGATACGGTGAGCTTACACTGCGTGCCGGCCGGCCGGCAAGTCACCGGCAACAAAATCTATTAAGGTACTTTATAAATAAGTAAATTTAGGTATGCAAAAACTAAGTCAATTAATATATTACCTATCTTTCGTAATATAAACCCAATTTATATTTCAAAATTATCATTTTTCAATACATTACATGGGCCAAAGCTCCGTGCTGTCGCATGAGCTTTCGTACTTGCCTACCACTTTTACCAAGTGATTTTGCTATTCGACGCTAGATGGCGCTGTGGTAAATATTGTGAATTTTGCAAGAAAACTTAGTCATTATAATAAATGCATTGTAAAAATACCTTCAGATGACTCCTAATTCAAATGATCTGTATTTCATAGGTATGCAAATTACGCTCATATTGAATAGACTCTATACTGCTCGTTCGTAAGCTAATTGCCTTGAGAACATCGAGTATGTACTGGATTATATGCTCGATGCTTGAGAAGAATGAATAAGAAACTCTAGGGTTTGCGCTTTGTAAATAATTCACAATATTTAATTCAAACATTATAGACAGATACAATTTGCAAAAGCCAAACGGGTTTCAACCACGGAACTTTGTCATCCAAGTGCGCAGAAGCTGTATTATTATACATAACTTTAGTATAAAGTGTTTCTATGGTTTTAAGTTTCATGAATGAAATTTTGAGTATCAAGCGGAATCTTATTATGGAATTGTATATATACGTTGCCCCATAAACGAATTTGTTGCTTTGTAAAGACGACTGTCAAAAACACTATTTATACATAACAATATTTTTTCTTAATAAATGTTACAATTATTCTTAAAATAAAATACATTTTCGTAAATTATCATAACCATGATACTATTAAAACCTCGGAAACAAAATGAAAACGCTGGCTTAGCTCGTCACTAATGTAGTATCAGAGCAAACCATCTTTAGAATAAAATTGCTAAAATAAATTTTAAAGGCACTTTTGGCCTTTGTGATTTTGGCAATCGTATCGCGTATTGTTGATCATACGATTCATGTCTTTGATAACGTAATTGAGACGAGAGATGTTCTTTACAATATGTTTTCGTGTATCTGCTATTGATGTCATCGGATTTGTATCTATTGGAATGTAAATTGGCTACTGCTCTTTATTTATTTCACATTTTTGTTAACTTGCTTTTCCTTTTTTTGTCACTTGGTGTATAATATAGTAGTTTATGTGACTGTTGCATAATGAAAGGCATTAAAACACGAGTAAGGGTTCATAAAAATATCTTACGAGTGTTTTAATGCCTAATTATGTAAGTACAGTTACATACACTGCTTTATCAACACACATATTATAAGCTCTCTGTGATGTGTTCAGGAACTGCACGTTACGTCTGGCGAAATGGCGGCAAATAAAATTTTTCTCACGCATGTCACACAACCGTAGTTTTTATCTTTAATTCATACAAACTAGAATCGGCCCCAACTATCATATCGTTCGATATCAAGTAACGTGTGAAATTGTTAAAATTGTTTGCTATTGAGATTCGTTTCGAATAAAACTTCATCTCGACTAATATTAGAATTGGGGTCCAATCAAATTGTATTGTTTTTCAGAGATGTTCGAAATTTGAATGTAATCGAATTCGATGTTAATATGAAGCATTATTAACATTTTCACAGATAAGAAATTTGTTCTAACAAAACAGAACCTTTATGTTGGTCGTAATTTGCGGTTTTTGAACACATTATAGAGAGTTTATGACACGTGTGTAGATAAAAAAATGTGTTAAGATGTAAGCAAGTGTTATTATAAAAAGGGATATAGTTTTACGGCAACATAGTTCAAATGAAAATCAAATAAAAAGAAAATAACAATGAAGTGCACGTAATTCTGATTTCAAATTATTTAGATGACAAAATCTGATAATAGAAGATATGGAAATTTCTATTTCCGAGATATCGAGAGTATAGGTAAATGTGGTGTTTCTCAATTTCTAACCTAATAATGTGAGCAGATTTATTTGTGTTTATGCATAATTACATACCTACTTAATAATATCATAATTATCTCGCCTTTCACGTAATGTTGTTTTCATAGTCCCTCCACATAAAACAACTGCCAATAACCTCAATAATGATAGTTTCAAATATATGGCCGCGAAAATATGGATTAATATCCCCCTCCCCCGCCATCCTGTCATAACTGTAAAGCTCTAATAAGTAATTTGTGCTCTAGGTAACAATTTTGTTTATTTTTGCTTCTTTTTTTAAAAAAAAGTTTAATTAAATACTTAAAAGAAATTGCTTGCGGCAACAGCGGCTTTTCTAGTTTTTTCCTTTTAAATGTCTAACAAGTGCAGTATTTCATTCATTCAATTATTCCTATTGTTAGTAATTTTGTTTTTCGTTAAATTTTAAGTTATATAGTATAATTTTAGAGTTAACTAACATTAGTAGGTACTTTCATGCCATCGCATCTTATAAAAGTGGTTCCAACTGAAAACCACCGTTACAACAGGCAAGCTGACATATGCTGACTAGGATTCGTTTCAGATTATAATTTGTAATCATTAATTCGTTTTGTATAAGCCTTAATAAGCTGAATAAACGTTTCTTTCTCTCCTAATGTTATATTTAACATCTAAGGAAGGTAAGGTGATGGGATCAATAAGAGAATAATAACTCAATAACATACGAACAATAAGCCAAAAATGTTTAATGTCATATCGATAAATTTACATTGCGTTTATCGTTAACACCAAAAACTGGACACCCACGACACGCGTGCGGCGCGCGCGCACTCGCAACGCGCCTTCCACTAAACGAGTAAAAATTCACCTAAAAAAATCCTCGCTAAATTAGGTATTACATACATAGATACGTTCGGATAGATCCTTAATATGTGCGGTGGCCCGGGCGCCAAGGATGGACATGGTCCAATGGCCAGGGGCCGCGGCGCGCCCGGCGCCAGCGCACCGCGAGTATACCATACGGGTGACTGATATATGTCACGTGATTATTCACGATATGCGTAAGTTGCAGGTTGATATTTGTGGAAACGCTAGGGACCGGCGTCGGCGCGAGCCCATTGTCATACTTATTATCTATTATTAGCTATTACCGAAAAGTCGTCATTAACAAAACTATAAAAGTCGAGGATCGGCGTCGTTTACGCATTGCTGCGACGCGTAACCGACACCGACGCGACAGCCAAATGCAACGCGCAATGGGCCGCGCCGCGTCTAATCCGCGACTAGCGATCGCCATTGTGCGACTCTAGCGTCGTGGGACGCGGCAGTCGCGGCGAGCGCTCGTCGCTCGTCTCCGGTGATCCGGGCCACGAAAGAGGCCTTCGACGATCGACCACCCTCTCGCCGAGCGCCCTACCTGGAGTATATTCCCAAAGTTTGCGGAAACCTACGACATCCTAAGATTAATATTGCTCCAAACTGATAGACAAATTTTGAACATGATAAATACCTACACCGAATCGAACACAGAGCTGTCCCCCATCGTTGTTGCAGTAGTCACTACGACACGAAATTAAGTGGCAGTGTTAACAGATCCCAGATCGCTTTCCTCCGAACCGCAAGCCGTTTGAAAATGAAGTCCAGGGGCGCTGGTAGGTGAGCGTAGCGCCTCGATGGGCGGGTCGCTACGCAGCGGCGGAGCCGGGGGCCGGTACGGCGCCCCCTCCCCTGCGGGCCCGACCGGGCCGCCTCAGACGAACCACTCGTCCTTGTGCGGGGCGGCGGCGCTCAGCGCGACGCCCGCGCCCGGAGGCGGCCCGGGCGCGCCGCCCTGCAACGACACACAACGCGGCATTACGACCAGCCGATGCACCGACAACCGGGGTAGCGTGGTTGCAGTGAACACCGATTACTAGTCCTTGTTTGAGTCAAATTCAAAGTCAAAGAATCGTATTTCATAGGTAAAATAAATTTACACTTGAAAACGTCACTTTTAAGCTACTTCTCGTTCTGTATGCTGACCTCTCTGAGAAGAACGAGCAAGAAACTGTAGGGATTGCTCTTTTCAAATAGGATAAAACCGGGATAGATGCCCCGCTTTTTGAAGCGGCCTACTAATTTAAAAATTATTAATTTACCATGAATATTTCCTATGGATAGGTATAACTAGTTTAAACTTTTACATCACCTTAATACTTGATTTTATTGATCTAACATTTATTGGTTTTGAAGAAATTGACTTTTTGCAAACCTATTTTTTTGAGAATAGATGCCTACCTATATGGATAGACGCCACACAATTAAAATACTAAGAAGGATAGATGCCCTTTAGAATAAAATAGTAAAATTCATAATAAAATGTTTTATTTGTAATCTTTGGTGTATTGTGTATACATATTACATGCTTAATTATAAATATATACGTATTTAAAGTTACTACCTACTTCACTTCGTATTTTTCTAGCTATAAAAACATTCTATACAAAAATGTTCGCTGTTCGAACTGTGAATAATTTGTCTTTTTGGTACTTTTACTTACTTTTAAACTATTATCATTTACATGTCTTTTTTACTAAAATAATGTTTTTTTTTTAAATTTTATTAAAATCGAGGCGACTATCCTATTCGATATAGATACCACGGTGAGTGCTCTGAAGAGTTATTCAACCTTATCCCTTCCTCTCCTTTCCATCAGCGGACCACCCGTGCCGGACTGCGTTGCCACAGTTGGACGGTCAGTTCAATACCGTCCCGCACTAAAAAGTTTGGCAATTCGTTCTTATGCCGAACCATCAAATTGTGGAACCAACTCCCGGCGCATGTATTCCCTCCCCTCTATAACATCGGGTCCTTCAAACGTAGTGTGAAGAAGCATTTGGCCAGACCGGCAAAATGATCGGCATTTTGCCGAGTCACAATAAAAAAAAAAAAAAAGATAGATGCCCTTTTATTATATAACTAAGCTATATACAAAAGAGCGATTATTGACACCTAGGTGCGCAGTTAATGAACCAGCGAATAGTTATAATAAAATTAAAACGTAATTTATTATAACTTACAAAGTTATGCGACAGTAAATACTTGCGTCTGAAATTTTGAACCGTTTATCGTGTTCGTCGCGAAGATAAACGCATGCCACACAAGCCAAACGCGTCTATTCCACACGAAGCCCTGCAGGAACTTTGATGAGTGGTGTCTATACTCCTTAATTAAACTAATTATTCTTTGTTGCGATTTGGGGAAGTTAGGTTTTTTGAAAACGAGGCACCTATCCCACTGCGGCATCTATCCCGGTTTTACCCTAAACTAAATCTTAACACTGTGACTAACTTAAGCTGAATGTTGAATAAATACGTTCAAATGATTCGATGAACTACACAATTCGAATAAAGTCACTTAGTGTGTAAAGCCTTCTCCTACATTAAATGCGTCATCATTGTCATGACAACCAAGGCAAGCAGGAGGTTGGAATTTTGTCAAGATTGAGAAGTTTATCGTAAGTATACCTGTACCCGCGCGGGCCCGCAGGGTGCGCCCAGTTTCCCGGCAGCTTGGTCTCGCTGCCGCACGGCGAGTCGTTCGCCGTCTTGCCGCCGGCGCCGTTGCTGCTCGCCATTTGTTGTACTGCAACACGTCAAATAATTACCTTCATCAATCCATATACGTCATACAGTTTCTAATACTGACTGTGTTGTAGCATAAAATATTGTGCTTGCAAAGAGCGAACCCAATAACAATGTAATACAGCATGAGCTAGTGTACCTTCGTAGATTTTGTAGGTACTTACAATGCAGATGTGTGCGCTGGTGGGCGGCGTTGCGGCGGCAAATGCAGCACAGCGTAATTGCAATCAACGGTGCCGTTAGCAGTGCTGCGCCTGCGCTGGCTATCACCCACGCGCTCACCGCACCGCCGCTGCCACTCTCTGCAATGAGCGGGATTACGTTTCAAAATTATTTTGTTATCGATAAGTACACAGCTGATTCGATGTGGAAAGAAAAGTATCCATCACCACCACCATCGCGTCAGTCGAAAGATATTCAAACCAATACTGCACCTACAACCTTTTAGTATCGTGTTGTTGTAAAGCAAAAGGGGTTTTTATATTTTAAAAAATGTAAGTGCGCTTTTGACCACCATCTCACCTGATGGAAAGTGACCATGAGGTCGACGATGTAACATGTACACCTAGATACTGCCAATTCACTCTTGCCTTGAAAAGGTCCAAGTTACTGCGTTCGGGGAACAAGTTTGCAGGCAGGGAATTCCACTCCCTCGCCGCTCGCCATATAAATGTGGAAGCAAAACGCTTAATACGAATCTTTGGAACATCCACGACAAAAGTGTGGAACCCAACACGACGTCTAGTACCCCGGTGTTGGTAAGGGTAAAGCGGAATTAAATCGTGCAATTCCATCGCACATTCTTCGTGATACATCCTGTAAAATACCGATAATCAGGCAACTTTACGGCGGTGTTCAAGGCTCCGTAGCTTCGCCTCCACTAATTCCAAGTCACCTGTAACCCTCTTGACACGGTTGTCAATTGAATCCAAGGTGGACAGTTGGTATGTGACATGGGTAATTGACAGAGTTTTCGACTAACAGCACTGGCCCACTTGAGTTGCCTCGAGTAGTCTGTCTGTAATTCTAAGTACCTTTAGTGTCAAATAATAGTAAAATTGGTTGGCTCACCGGGGCAAAGCGAAGCGGTGTCCTCGTCGGAACCGTCGGCGCAGTGGTCGACTCCGTCACAAGTGAGGTCGGCGCTCACGCAGAATTCGCGCTGCTTGCACCGGAACTCCTTGCACCCGTGCTCTGGAACCACAGTTTCAAATCTCGTGAGTACCACGACATATGTTTCTAAAAAATTAAAAATACGGTAGAAGAATAGAATTATAGTGATGAAAAGTTAAATTTTTGTAAAATACCCTTAAATTCTTTCAAAACTTTTACGTATTCGCAGTGAGGAAGTTGGATAACCTAGGTAACTATCGCACCTCATATAATTTCATAACTACATAAAGACAATATAGCCCATACTGCGCTTAAATAAATAACGAAAAAACCGTTAATTATGTTTAGGTCAAAATTTTCCGAAGACTGGAACATACTTCGTAGCTACGCGACTTCCGGATCCATGTGATTCAAGTCGCTCTCCGTAACTACGCAACTTCCGGTTCTACGTGATACAACTCAACGTCCAATTCGTAAAGTGATAATTTCAAAGGAGCTCTGTTATCGCACCGCGCCCCGTGGATTGTAAAATCGCACAATAAAAGTGCTGACGTGGTCACGGGCAAAAAATTCTGATTCATCCTTGTCAAAAATGCGACCAGAGAATGGTACTAACGAGATCCCAACAAGATTCGCCGGCGATACGCCGATGTCAGCCAACTAAATTGCGCCGCTGGAAATTTCTAACTCCCACAAACCGCTTATTATTTCAGAAATGAGAAAGAAAAAGAAATTACAGCCGTTTAGAGGGGAGACATTCGAGCGAGCTTTTGATCTCCACCGTCTCTTAAAGCGAGTTTTGTTTGAATGTAGCGAGTACACGGCGGCACAGGTGGGTGGAGTGTGGAGAGCACACAATACAGGTGCGGCATGTATGCGATGCATTGTTTAAAATTTTATTCGAGGCGGGTGTCGCGTCGCGCGTTTTTGTTGCATAATTCAATGGCGTGTAAGCGTTCAAATATATCGTCCTTTGTGAGCTAAGTCTCGAGCGACGCGTGGGGAATTTTTAAATTAGTCACGTCACACGAGGATTTGCTAGTTAGGCGCGACGCGCCTACGTAAGGTGTTTTTGATGCATCGATCGTGTAAAGAACAACACCGTTACAGGCTGATTCCGCCTATTTATTTCGAAGTTCAGCATCTGCGATACCGATGACCAACAATTATGAATATAAGGAAAGTGGGATAGCGGTAATTGTAACGGGATGACGAATACCCTACCCTAATTAAAGGGAATGGCCTCAATTTATAATAAGGCAAACAGGTGCCTTGCGAGTTTGCAACAATCCGGGGAAGTTGGAATTTTAAACGAAGTATGTTGACTAAGGTGGTTTGCCGGGGGCGAGGGTCGAGCACAGAGCCGGGCTTTAAGATTTCATACCGGGGCGTTACAACAATGTTAAACGGAAGCATTGTTATCTGATGGCACCACACAGAGGAAAACTTTGTTTTTTACTTATTTAATGTAAATGAAACCATAGCTGAAAAGTTGAGACGCAAGTATGGTAATAGGATTTCATGCGGGAATCCGGACTCGAGCCGGACGTTTTCAGTGTCGGGAATATCGTGACTTTTAAAACTGAATACAACCTCAAATGTCTTTGGTTGATTTCGCATAACAGTCAAAGTGTTGCCTCAATCTCTTTGGAAAAAATATTTAGTAAAATTGAGGATGTACAGTGATTAGTAGACGTGTGAAAACGGTTCCTAAAAATTTTCACGATAGGAAAAAAAAACATAAACTTACCTCGAAACTTTACGTGTACCAATCATTGACTTACAATTATATGGACGTCGGGTCCGCGCTAAAAAGTGTCCGCACTTATACAGAGCGCCAAACTCCGCTTTAGTCTTCATTTGTTCTACTGACAGCGCGATACTGCGATGACATTACAATTTCAATTTCGAATAGGTTGACTTGGGACATTTTTTTCGTGGTTTTTGTATTAGACCCGTCGTCCATTTATTTGTAAGTCAATGGTACCAATGATTATTTTTTATATTAGCAGAATTAAGTAGAACACGTGTACTATACGACAGACATTTTTCAAATGGCTTTTTTTTCAAATAAATTCTGAAATAAAGCCAATGTCCCTGCTCCATGCAAGCAAAATGAACCCTATTAGAATTAAAATTAGAATTAGAGCTGGCATAATACCGACTCTAGAGTCATTTAGTTAAAAAGTATTAAGAATATACTAAACCATCTGTTATTTTTTATTCTAACTACATGGGCGTAGCAACACCGTAGAACGCACTTAGTAGATAGGTATAAATTGAATTTCATTGAAGAGCAGTAGTAACAAATTCAGGTCCTCTCTATCTGAAACTGTATTAAACGCACTTTGTTTCTTTTATATCCACTACATAAAAAAGCTTTCATAAGTAATTTTTCATTTTATAATTTGTGTTTATAAAGAATTTAACTAACATATCATCTTTTGACGGCCTAAATGCCTAGCCTATAGGTATGGAAACCTACTTTTAAAACAGTCTCGAAAATCTAATTTTCCTGAGATTTTCGATACTGGATTTTCCCGGGACGTAGAAATGCAAACTGAAAGTTATATGCTTAAACAAAAAATGGTTTCGTGTATGGCTGGTTGAGAGTGTTTTACTAACAAATATATCTCAAATTCATCGTAATTCAACTGTTATCCGCTAGATGGCAGCACAATAATTGAAATTTCAAATATGAAGTCAAAAGTCGTTTTAATTCGCAGTAATAGGTATTGATGGTATTGAACGTTCAATGATATGTCAATAGAATAAAGTTTAAATTATATAAACAGTCCGGAATTTCTTATTTCTTTTTAAATTTGAAACTACGATCAATCATCTTATCTTATCTTTGAAAAATCGTAATCCTAGATCCACTTACAAAATGCATATTGGTGTAGTTTATATCTGTGATCAGAATCTCGGTAACTCAATGCCGGTTCAATTGTCTAATTTTGCATTGAATGTGACTAAAATCACATCACATAACCCTTTAGACAAAATAATCATATTTGGCGATTTTAATCTGCCTTTTGTCTCGTGGACTGTTGATATCAATGATGGAATATCTCTTATTCCTTCCAATCTCCAAGGTCCACACCAGCTACAATTAATTGATAATTTTAATACATGTTCTCTCTCACAATATAACTCTTTTGCGAACGACAGCCATGGTCGTATTTTAGATTTAATTTTTTCTAATAATGTAGTTCATGTTCATGCTTGTGACCGTCCGCTTATCCCAGAAGATCCCCACCACCGCTCTTTGGTAACTACTGCGGAATTTGTTCAATTGCATACAATTAAGCCGCGCCAATATATTAAGTACTTGTATAATACTGGTAATTTTGATTCAATATGTGCGGACTTGGATGCTGTCAGTTGGCATTCCGAGCTTAATAGTCGTGGTATAGAAGATGCGGTATCATTTTTTTATAACGCTATTTATGGCTTGCGTGATAAATATATTACTACTACTGTAGTCTCGCCTTCTCATAAGTACCCTTTATGGTATAAGCGACCTTTAATTAAATTATTAAGAGAAAAGTCGAAGTTTCATAAAAAATATAAAACTTATGGCAATGCTTACGATCGTGACTCATTCGTGTTATTGCGTAAGAGGGCGCGTGAGATGGAGGAAAATATGTACTTTACTTATATCTCAAATATTGAAAAGTACATAAAAGAAAATCCCCGCGCTTTTTGGTCATTTATAAAAAGTAAAAACCAGTCTAACTTGTACCCCTCTGTGCTTGAATACGGTAACCGTTCGTCTGACCAAGGTGACGAAATATGTAATTTCTTTGCGGAGTATTTTCATTCAACTTTTCGAAATCACACCCCCTCTAGCACCTTAATCGATTCAGTATCAAATGCTTACACCGACTCATGTGCTGATATATCTACTGTTGAGGTAATTGAGACAAATATCTTAAAGTTAATGAAATCTTTGGATTTAACGAAATCTGCAGGCCCGGACAACATTCCCGCAATTTTAATTGTTAAATGTGCAAAGAGTCTAGTTCTTCCACTCTCTCTCCTGTACCGGCGCTCTCTTTCAGAGGGTATTGTCCCAAGTATTTGGAAGACTGCCTTCATCACCCCTGTTTACAAAAAAGGCCCTAAAAACAAGGTAGAAAATTACAGGCCCATATCGAAGTTAAGCCTGTTTGCGAAGATTTTAGAAAAAATTGTCTATTCACGACTATATCCTTCGCTGAAACAGTGCATTTCGCAGGATCAGCATGGTTTCTTGAGAGGTAGATCAACCACTTCGAATCTTTTACTTTGTGCAGAATTTATTACTAAGTATATGTCTGAACCATCACAAGTTGATATAATATATACGGACTATTCCAAGTGCTTTGATCGAATCGATCATATTATACTATTACAAAAGCTTCAGAGAATAGGTATAAGAGGAGACTTGTTTAGATGGTTTTCTTCTTATGTTAGAAATCGATGTCAAACAGTCGTTTTAGGAGGTTATTCATCTTTGTCTATGGGCATCCCTTCTGGTTTACCTCAAGGATCATTGCTAGGACCTCTACTTTTCACAATTTTTGTTAATGATATCGCTTCCTGTTTTCTGAAGTCTAAAATACTTTTATATGCCGATGATATGAAAATTTTACGTAGAATTAATGATATTAATGACGCCCATTGTCTTCAGGACGATCTTATTAGATTTCAAAATTACTGCATTATAAACAAATTGGATCTTAATGTTTCTAAATGCTATGTAAGTACCTATACCCGAAAATCCACAAAAATATTATATAACTACACATTATATAATGCTTCCCTAACTCGAGTAGATTCGATTAAAGATTTAGGGGTGACTTTTGACAGTAAATTGATATTTGATCAACATATTGATAATGTTGTCAAAAAAGCAAGTCGTTCGCTGGGTTTTGTACTAAGAATGTCCTCGGAATTTAAAAGTATTAAAACTTTTAAAATACTTTTTTGTTGTTATGTTCGGAGCCACCTTGAATATGCCTCTCAGGTATGGAATCCTCGCTATGAAGCGTATTCTGCACGAATAGAATACATCCAAAAGAGATTTTTGCGTTACC